TCATGCTGTCAGTTAATGATATTGTACTGGAATTTTCTATCATTATGCCCTTAGAAGGTTATTTAATCTCCACCTTTAAGATTAAATTGATATTTTCGTTCTTATGATGAATGCTATGACTTATGTCGCACATGTAACGTTTATTAGTTCTAGAAAATATCTAGTTTAACTGGATTTGCTATGATGCTTTTGGATTTCTTTGGTTTTCTTGTTGAATTCTCGTTAATTTCTCATTGATGTCCTCTTGATTTCTCGTTGATTTCCTCTTGATTTCCTGTGATTTCCTTTGATTTCCTCTAGCGTGTACAATTGATTTCTTCTGCGGTTGACCCCTCGGTGTTTCGTATATTATTGTGTTTTGTTGGAATGGACTAATTATAATGTTTTATAAAATTTCGTTAAATATCTTTTTTAAATATTTTAAATCTTTTTCTGCACAATATTTCTGTTTTTGAAATGTTAGTTTGCAAGTCTATAAGAAACGCGTGCTGTCCTAAAAAAAGTCCTGATGCCGATGAACACACGTCAAGTTTACTGTACATTGTTACTATTGTTATCATTACTGGCTGCATATAATATTTTCACGGTTTTCAGTTATCTTTCGCTGTGATGTTGTTATTTCCTTCTCGTGAAGTCTTACACAAAATAACAGAATTGAGTTAAACACCGTTTCCTTTGCCTTGTACAAAAATATCAAATATGTAATTACAAGAAATAAGAGCGTTTAAATCTATGTAACAAACTAATTACTAATTACTAATTAGTTTTTTTGCTGATAATAGATAAGATAAGATAAGATGTTTATTTCATGCTTTATACATATCAGTACATGCATTTGTCAATAAAGAAGATTTAATGCAACACTTTTCTGTCTTGTACAGAATAGGTTATGACTTCTTTGTCATACAAACAATTTCACACATATGGCAACAAATACAATAAAATACAATCAACGTAGGCTATCAACAAATTCTTTTGTAGTATAGAGAGCCCCTTCTTTCATATGTTGAACTATTTTTTGTTTAAATCTAGACTTTGTCAGTGTTTTCCACTCAGTGGGGATTTTGTTATATAGATGTATGTTACCTGAATTTTTATTTGTGATCTCTAATTTATGTTTAGGTGGCACCATTTGATTTTTGTTCCTTGTGTTATGTGAGTGGATTTGTGCATGTGTAACAAAATTGTTTTTCAACTCTTGTATCTCCAATAATTGAGAAATCATAAATACACACGGTAGCGTCAAAATTTCCAAGCATGTGAACAGAGGTCGACAAGAATCTCTATGTTTTGCATTGCCTATATTTCTTAGTGCTCGTTTTTGCAATTTGAATATCTTGATGGCATGTGAAGAGCCACCCCAAAGAGCAACCCCATAGGTCATGCGAGTAATAAGCAGTAATTAATAGATTATGGTGCAAGCACCTTTGGAGCCTTCTTATTAGATAGATACATGATGATAATTTTTTTTGAAAGATCATTTGCATGTTGATACCAGGTTAACCCAGCTTTCGCAAATTCGAGGACACTAATAGATATTGTGTTTTATCTGTATTTAGCTTAAGCATGTTTGTTGTAAACCATAAGGTGACTTTTTCTATGGTACATCTACTCTTTTGTAGAAGGTCCTCATGGTTGTGACCTCTATTTAAAACGCTAGTGTCATCAGCAAACAGGGTACGAATTGATGGTGCCAATGCATCGGGAAGATCATTTATATATACTGTAAATAGAAACGGTCCCAAAATTGAACCTTGTGGTACGCCATGTTTAATTTTAAGAAAAGTTGATTGTTCACTGTTTACGATGACACACTGCGTTCTGTTAGCAAAATAACTTACCAACAACTCAAGAGGTTTACCCCTGACACCATATTTAGATAGTTTACCCAACAGAATGTTGTGGTTTACACAATCAAAAGCTTTGCTTAGATCACACAAGGTAATTTGCGAATCAAGCCCCTCATTTAAACCTTCTACTATGTCACTGACTATGTTAGCAACAGCTTTTACAGTAGAGCGTCCCTTCATGAACCCATATTGATGTTTTGATATGATGTTATGTTTGTCAAAAAACGAAAGCAATCTATTTTTTATGATCGTTTCGAATATTTTGCTTAGAACCGGCAAGATGGATAGGTCTATAGTTTGTGATAGATGAGGGATCACCCTTTTTGAATATAGGTAGTACCTTTGAGGTTTTAAGACAATCAGGAAAAATGCTCTTGCTCAAGCAATCATTAAACAGATCTGTGAGAAATGGGACACTAACTTCACCTATGTTTTTTATCATGCCACGGGTTAGGCCATAAATATCGGGACACTTTGAATTTTTTAATTGGCGTATACATCAGACTGTTTCTTCTATAGAGATAGGTTGGAAAAAACAAGATGACTGATTTTCAACTAAATTTGTTTCCGAATTTGCAGATTTCGTATGTAACGAATCAATAATAGTTTGAGCAGTAGTTACAAAAAACTTGTTAAACTCAGTGCTCGATATTCCGTATACATCAGTCCTTTTTTTAGTGAAATTTCTTTCCCAGTTTATTAACTTCCACGCCGTTTTATTGTAATTATCCGAGTTGATTAACAAATTTCCATAGACAGTTTTTTTTGCTTCAGCAATAGCCTTTCGATAAAGTGACCTATATGTTTTCAAAGCGGCTTTATCGCAGTCCAATCTAGTTACTGTGTATATTGCGACAAGGCTGTCTAATGTCCTTTTCATATTTTTAAGATTTTCTTTATACCAGTTGATAGGTTGTTTATTGAGTTCGTTAAGTTTAGTTAACGGAAAATGGGTATTGCTAAGTTTTTCTAATTTTTCTTGTAAGCAAGAAGTAAGATTATTTATATCATCATGTTTTGTCTCATCAATTTCCAGCTCAAAACAGGCACTGAATTGCTGAAGCGTTTTGTGTGTGATTTTCTTTACCCACACTTTCTCTGAGTCATCCTTCCTCACATGTATATTTATATATATATTTGCAGATTTCTTAATGTTAAAGACGTGCAAGAATGATCTAAGATAAAGGGATGTTCAACGAGGGTGGTAAAGTCATAGGTTCTTAGATTTGTACATATGTTATCAACGCAAGACAATGACTCTATTTTCGTTACCTCTGTGATTGTATAAGTAAGACCATGTTCGTTTAATAAATTTTCCATGTCTCTGTGCATATCTCGGATACAGTTAAGTCGAAACTCAATGTTGTAGTCACCCAATATGATTAAGTTTTTACATGTATTGAAACAGTGTTCAATGAGTTGATTAAATTTATCTAGAAAAATTCCAAAATCACCATTTGTTGATCTATAGACAGTCACAACAAGACAGTTTAAATGTACAGCACAAAACTCAGCATGTAGCTCCACAAAAAAAAAGCATTTACATCTAGTTCGCGATACTTCACTTCATTTCTTAAGAAAATACATACGCCTCCGTGTATATGCTTCTGGCGACAGAAGGACGTAGCCAGAGTGAACCCATGTAGATGAATGGTTTCCAATAGGATCTTCTGTGTTACCGAGTGTTCCGACACACAGAAGACGGAACACATGTTTTGATCAAGATAAGTGCCTAACACGTCAATTTTATTGATGATGCTTTGGACATTGAGATGAAAGATTTTCAGACCTAAGATGTGTTTGGTGGAGGTGCCGAGGTTTTCATTTATCTGTTTTCTGGAAAAAACTGCTCCGAGAAATGAAAACGGCTAAAACATTGGGGCACCCACCTGAAAAGAGGGGAATCTACTCTTGCTTGTCAGTTGTTTACATTGGATTTCTTCATGGTCATCAATTCTCTCCTTGAGGTACTCTAGTACGTCTTTTATTGTAGTTCCTTCTTGTGCACGGGCAATTCGTAACCAAATTTTTTTACTGGTTCCGCACAATTTATTGTTGGTATCACCTGTTCCGACGATGTCTTGTCGTTTTCTATTGAGTTTTGTTTTGTTTACAAAAGTTTTTTGGGGCACTGATTGATTTTGGTTTGTTGTTTTGTTATTTGCAGTTACCGACGCCAACGTTTGTGTATTTGACTTGACTTTGTTTCTATTTTTTGCCGAGGGCTGTGGGGATGCTCTTGATTTTGTTGTTTGTTTAGGTTTATTGTATGTGAACTGATAAGCGTAAATCCTTTGCTTTTTATATCCGAACTATCCGTCGGCAGTATTTGCTTTTTTAATGGATAATAATGGAACAAAATAAGTACTTGAAGTAAATTAAGGGTTTTCTTAAAAACTTAACAAGATATTCATCATATTGTTACGATTTTCGGGTATTTAAAAATTGACCTGGGTAAAATTCAATCATTTATTTCTCGATAATACAAATTTATACGAATAGCGATTATAATTCCGACTCAACTTAGAGTCTAATATTCTCTCGTCGACTGGACTAAAACTGACTGCTCCCGACGGTGGTCCCTATTTTTAAACCCATACGTTCCTTTCTGGATAATTGGCGGTCACTGTTTCAAACTCGTTCTGGAGCCCTCAACCGAGACATCCGCAGAAACGCTTCTAGCCGCTTCTTTATTCGAATACCGCCGCCACCGATTATGAGTCACTCATCATCGTCATATATACTAGAAAATACATAAGCGGTGTATGGGTTTACTTCGTAACAATGTCATCATTTATTAATAGACACTTAAGTAAAATAACACAAACTCAATTGTTCTTGTCCTAATTACTTAGTAACATGTTTAACTTCACATTCATCGATAATTTTTCATTTTTTTTTTTGTTAATATAAAATTCGTAGGGTCGTTTAATCCATAAAGTGCGATTATGGCGTGAAATGTTTTTCCACAGTTGTTCAGAAAACGCGTTAATACTGTTAATGTGTGTTTTTCAAATCTCACAGCTAAAGCAAGATCACAGTGCCGTAGAATACTCGTTAGTCGTTATACACAGATATCGACTCCGAAACTAAAAAAAAAAAAAAAATAACACGCATGTGACAGTTACACGTTCATATATTATATTACAGGAACCGCAAGATGTGGCGAAAATTAATCACAATATTATGGAAAAATTTAGTCATCAGAAAACGACATTGGGTTTTAACTATTAGTGAAATCGTAATCCCCATAATACTGTTTACTTTGGTGGCTTATGGAAGGTCAAAAATTAGTGGAATGAGTAAAGTGCATATCAAAGAACCTACATACTATGACGTCACTGATACACACAACATATACTCTCATTTAGATGTTGACGAACTGAAACTTTGGTATGCACCACGCACAAATTTTACAAGAGAGATAATAATTAAAGTTCAAGACAAACTTCAAATACGAAGAGATAGTAATAAATTGTCTCGGAACACAAAAACATAAATTTCAAGCATATTATGTTATAGGTGTAAAAGAGTTTGATTCTACCAGTGAACTGTTGTTAGAGTTTGGAAAAAACGCAACAACCCTGATTGCTGCTATTAATTTTGATGTTCACGATACAAATCATTTAAACTATGACCTAACAATTTACGATAAATATTTTAGATGGAACACAGATAAATTATTTATACCTTTGTTCACTCAGGAAGAAGGAAGTAAGTGTCTAAAGTTTTCGTGGTTTTTTAATAAACACAATATGTTTTCAGGAATGTCTAATTATTTGTCTAAAGGTTTTGCTGCGTTACAACTGGCCATAGATATGTCTTTCGTGGAGTTCCATCTCGATAACGATAAAGAAAAGAAAAATAAAGCGATAGAATTTTCTTTACAACAATTCCCAGACCCACCTCGCACTGATGATTCCGGAGTCAATCAATTATTTGTTCATTTTTTGCCAATTGTTACTATTTTCAGTTTCATATTTTTATGCCCGGCAGTATTACAACGCGTTGGAGAAGAAAAATTTTCGGGAACCAAAGTACACGCTAATATATTTTATGCAATTCTTTATCTTACTGGATAAAAATTTGTAGGAATATATGAAAATGATTGGTCTGAAGTCATCTTTAATTTGGTTGGGATGGTTTATACATGCTCTGATGACCAACATATTCTCCATTATAATAATTGTGGTATTAATGAAGGTACCGTTTTGGGGAGTCTCATATCCACCGATAGAACATTCAGATGGCACAGTTTTATTTACATTCCTGTTTTTGTACTGTATGGCAGCTATAACCTTCTGCTTTTTTATTGCTAGTGTTGTCAACACACGTAAGTATTGAGTTATTTCCGGAAGAAATTAAATGTTAAATAATGAACTTCATGGATGAGAGGGTTGATTAATTTAGTTTGGATTTTTCCATGTACATGTTGTCAGCAGTTTTTTTTTTATTCTGTTGTCTTAACTAATTATCGAATTATAAAATAAATGAAACATAATTAACATAAGTGTTATTGTTATTGTGCTTAATATATTTTGTTAATAACTTATTTCAGCATCCGTGGCAACAGTAGTCGGAATATTGTTGTGGCTTATTTCATACTTTGTACCACAATCATTTATAAATTCCCATGAAACTTTACAATGGAAATATAAAATGCCTTTCGCCCTTTTTCCTAATATGGCACTTTCTTATGGTTACTCTTCTATATCAATATACGAAATGAGAGGTTGTTGCAGATATATTTCTACATTGATTATAATTATACAAGATATTATTTTCAGAGGTTGGTATTCACTGGAATAATATTTTCCAGCCAGGAAGTGGAGATGATAACGATATAACGATGGGAAATGTGTTCATAACATTGATATTTGACATGATATTATTCATGATGCTCACACTTTACATTGAAAATGTTAAACCAGGAGAATACGGAATTTCTAAGCCATATAATTTCCCATACACCAATTTTGTCTCTGTAAGATTTTTTTTAAAGCTTATAGTATTTAAACAGTAGACAGAGTTAACTTGGTAGAATCCGTTTTCAAGAAAAGAATGCTTAATGATTTTTTTTTTGGTCATAATTTCCAGATTTTTATAGATCATGAAACTGTTTCAGTGTCTAAAAAAAAGTTTTGTGCAGTTGAAACGATGTCTGGATCATCGAGTTCAAAACTCATCGGAAGACATATTATTACAAGACTCAGAGATGGAATACACATCAACACAAACACCGTGTATTCAAATCGTTAAACTTTGTAAGAAATACTCCCATCATGTGGCTGTGGATGATTTGACAATGGACATATACAAAAATCGCATCACAGTGTTATTAGGTCAAAATGGTGCAGGAAAAACTACGACAATGTCTATTCTAACAGGTAAAGCGTATACATTTTTTTATAACATTAATTAATTTTGTAAAATCATAAGGAATGATCAACGCAACAAAGGGCGCAGTGTTAATTAATGGACAAAACATTAAAACTCACACAGATGACGTTAGGAAGCTAATGGGCTTTTGTCCACAACACAATCTGTTGTTCCCAGATTTGACTGTTCAGGAACACCTAAAGTTTTTTGCAAGAGTATGAACTGGTCTAAAACGTGTGGACGTTTTTATTTTATTTTGTTTTTTTGTAGTTGAAAGGGTCGAAAACTCGTGATGACGATTCCAAAGAGATGCTAAAAATTCTTGGAATAGAGGAAAAAGCAAATGAAATGGCAAACGTCTTATCTGGCGGAATAAAACGGAAGCTCTGTCTTGGAATGGCTTTAATTGGAAATTCAGAGGTAATTTTTTTTTTTTGTATAAGTGTTTTCGAGCTCCATTATATAGGTACATGGATTTTAACAGTCTAAACTGTCAGCTCAACAGCTTACTAAAATTTGATGTATAGTTATTGGTGTATAATAGAATATATGGGTTAGGCTGGGAATGAGCAGATGTATAATTTGAAGTTGATGACCGGATTTTAAACGTATTTCTGGATGTAATTGTTTTAAGTAACTCTTTGGTAGTAGTTTTTTTTTTTAATATTTAACAGGTTTAAATAACTGTCTTAAATAACCCATGTAATAGATTTGATCTGTTAATGTTAATCCGCCTAATTATCCTAAAATTCCTCTCCTTCAACAATTTTGTGATTCCCTTCTTCTCGTTCAGCATAATACAATACGCAGTTGTAATCAGCAGTTTACTTGACCTAGTTCTTGTAAACAACCAAAATTTTACAATGGATCTTGAACATTATGTGCCAGCTCTTGTACCTGAAGATGCTCACCACCCTTCACTTGCCGTAAACTTACAATTCTTAGCATCATCTTCTACCCATAAGTTTCCTGCAGCCAATAATGTACGCTACAACTTTAGGAAAGCCAACTTTCCGAAACTTTACGACAATTTCGATGACGTAAATATTGCACTGGACAATTTATATGAATATCTACATACGCTTCTAGACCAAAATGTTCCAAAAGTTTCCGGTTGTTCATCTTCTAAGTTTCCATATTGGGTTACGAATGAAATAAAAAATAATATTAAAACCAAAGAAAATTTCAGACGTAAGTGGTTGAGAACCAAAAATAATGTCTTCTATAATGAACATAAAAGGCTAAGATCTCTCGTGAAAACTCAGTTGAATAGTGCATATCATGATTACATCAACCAAGTGGAGATTAACTTACAATCAAATCCTTCTGGATTGTGGAGTTTCATAAACGTCAAAAAAGGAACGTCTAGAATTCCCAGCTACATGATCGATGAGGAGCACAATGAATATACTAATCCACAAGATATTGTAGACGAATTTGCAAAAACTTTTGCAAATGCACAAACTAATGACTCGTCAACCTCCTTTTTACCCACTTATGAAAACTCTTCAATTTGTTCAGTTTTTCCAGTTAGCCAAAACGAACTAATATCAATAATGAAAAACTTTCCTAATAAACTGACAGCCGGTGATGATTCAATTCCAAGTTTTGTTCTTCGAGATTGTAGTTCTGCATTTGTTCTACCACTGTCCATAATAATTATAATTTGGCCTTAAAAACAAATACTTACCCAGAACGCTGGAAAATAGCCAGAGTCATCCCCATATTTAAAAAAGGTAGTTCTCAACTCCTCAACAACTATCGCCCAATATCTATTTTATCGAATTGTTCAAAGGTGATGGAGCAGGTATTATATAAACAAATTTACTACAATGTCCGGCCCTACATATCGCCATACCAACATGGTTTTGTAAAAGGCAGATCCACTATTACTAATTTATCTGTGCTAAGTCAGACACTAGCCCAAGAAATCGATAATCAAGGTCAAATTGATGTCATCTACACTGATTTTTCTAAGGCCTTTGATTGCATCCCACACAGAATTTTACTTCGCAAACTTAATAACTTTGGCTTCTCAGCTTCACTTTTACAATTAATATGCTCTTACATCGACAATCGCGTGAATTATATTTCTTATAATCGCTTCAGGTCCTATTTATTTACATCTAGTAGCGGCGTTCCGCAAGGTTCTAATCTTGGACCGTTACTTTTTAACATATTCGTAAATGACTTGCTATTATCTCTTAGTTGTCCGGTTCTTGCTTATACTGACGAGCTCAAAATATACTCAAAAATTTCCTGCATTGACGATACCCTACATTTGCAAGCCAATCTTGACAAAATCGTGCAGTGGTGTAATAATAATATTTTTAAAATTAATAAAACAAAATGCTTCTTTATATCATTCTCCCGTAAAAACATCCTTACTGAGTTTTCATATTCAATTGATGGATCTTTTATTACTAAAAAAGAGTCAATCAAGGATCTTGGTGTAATATTTGATGAACGCTTAACATTTAACTCACACATTGAACACATAGCGAACTCAGCTAACAAGTCCTTAGGTTTTATCATGAGGGTATCTAAGTATTTCCGTAATGTCAACCTGATCAAAATTCTGTTTTATGCCTTTGTTTTAAGCAAGTTAGAATCTTAGATCATATAATAAATAGATACCACCATGCCGTGTTCTTTCCCTAGGACAGCCTGTGACGACATCCTCCTGTCACACATCTCTCTCGTGCATGGAGGGATTACAATGAAGCTATCCTTGCCTGATCACTATTTGAATTTTGCGCGCCTAAATTTAAGGAAGTATGTCTGAACTAACTTCGGAAGAAAGATGTTGACAGCTTGATTTTATAAATAATTCACAGTAGATAACGAAAGCAATAGTAAATTATTGGGCAGCAATTGTGATCCTTTATGACTATGTAATTGTTGTCGTCGAATTACTAACGGAAACGGTTTTAGTACAGGTTTATTTACAATACCAACTACAAAAATGATAACACGGCCCAAGGTTGTATGTGTATGTCCACGTGGAGGTCTTGAAGAGAAGAGGACGTCTGCACACGGTGAGTGGTCGGAGAAGAAGAAGACGTCTGCACTCGGGGAGTAGTCGGAGAAGAAGAGAGTCTGTTTTCTGTTTCCACCGTGGCGTTTCCTCTTTAGGCTTGCGCGGTGTAACTGCCAATCCGGTGGCTGCATTATGTATGTATAACTGGTTGCCTACTTCCAGGCGGCCACAACTACATCACTTAAAATAGGATCTTTGTTCTAAATTCTAAAATTGTTTTTTGTACAACAACTCGAAAGAGAGGTTAGAAGAAACATCTGTCAAAAGCGATTTGTTGCGCTGGTGCGGAAGTGAAATAGACATATACAGATGAAATGCATATAACAAAGATGAAGATGTGGTGATCACACAAGGATAGCATTATACTACTCCCCTTGACGTAGAAAACGACAACAGATAGCTTCATGTCTAGTCACACCTTTCAGTTTGAGTATTGGTATCTATTTATTATATGATCTATGGTTAGAATACGCATCTTTAATTTGGTATACGATATACATCACGCAGCACATGGTCCTAGATAGAATTCTGAAGAAATTCTTGAAGTTTCTATCACTTAAATGTGATGGAACGTACCCTCAACGGGGTACGGATATGTCACTTCTCCTTCAACGGCATCAAATGTCGTCACTTTCTTCTAGAAGAGATTTTTACTGTGCCCGTTTTCTTGCAAAACTGGTTTCTAACGAAATAGATTGTATAGATCTTCTTAGTAATATAAGCTTCAATGTTCCACGGCTATCTTCTAGATTTGTACAAACATTGAAGATCCCTAGAGCTCGTACCAACGTTTTATGTCGTGCACCGATTTACACAATGAGTTGTTGTGGAAATAATTGTTTAGAAGATATATTTTGTTAAATTGTAACTACGATAGTATTGTTATTTTAATTATATATTTATTAATGTAGTGTACAATTAGTTATTGTTGTCCTATAATTGGGAAATTAATCCTGTTGGACAATAAACTATATATTATTATATTATTATTATTATCTGTTTTTGGCAGGTTTTGATTTTGGATCAACCGACATCCGGAATGGATCCAGAATCTCGTAGAAAAATCTGGAATTTGCTACTGGAATATAGAAAAACTAAAACCATATTGATAACAACACACTGTATGGAAGAGGCTGACGTACTTGGAGACATGATAGCTATCATGGCAAATGGTCGATTACAATGTTACGACACACCACTAAACTTGAAGACAAAATACAGTAAACCTTTGTGGAGTATTTATTCTCACAAACGCCTTACAATTGACGATTTTTTAGATACTGGTTATCACTTAAATTTGTTACTTGATTCAAATAGTGATACAAATGAAATAGAGAAAACCGTTAAATTGCATTTTCCAGAAGTTAAACAGATTCGTAGGAGAGATGACTCTATCGTCTATTTGTTACCACTTTGGCAAGGAGCGAAGTATGCACAAGTGATTGAGGCTTTGGAAACGAATCAAAATACTTTAGGAATTAAGGACATCAACATGGATTTAACAACTCTTAATGATGTGTTTTTAAAGTGAGAATCAGTGTGATTGATTTGCGATTTGATGCTCATTTTAAATTGTTGTTTTTGTAGAGCATGTGACACCAATAAGAACCAAGACGAGATTGATGGTGAAAATGAAAGAGAAGCAGAAACTTTATCGATGAATAGTACGTTTATATAATAGTTTTCATTTGGAGAACTTTATATTGGGTAATTTAGTTTGGTATTCAACTTATGTATAATTTAGCCATTAATATTTACAAAAATTGATTCCTTCGTCCGGAATCTCGCCGATAACATGTGGTGGCGGCGTACCTGGGTACTAAGCCTTGGGCCGACTAGTGTCGCTGATTTAAGAAACACGTCTGGCTGACCTAAGCGTATGTGGCGACCTTCACGCCACCGGGTGAGGGAGTGCCGGGGTTGCTCTCAAGCTGGAGACACGTATCTCAGGTGGTGAGCGCCCGCGAAAACACGAGAGTAAAATAAAAGGGCAAGGAATATTTTAAATAATAATAGCACAGGGTCACGAGCACAAATTAATGACATAAAGCTTTCAATCTCGGAACCTGCGAAAACTGATGATGAAACCATTTATGCCAAGGCACTTAAACAAACATCTGGAATTATTTTCAACCAAAAGATCAATCTCAACGTTGATCCAGTAAAATCTGGTGTTTCTATAAGAAACACAAAAAATGGACACAATGGAAGTTTAATTGTTCGATGCGAAAAATCTGAAGATACAGAAAAAATTCCAAACTTGCCAATGATAATAATTTGCGTGAAAAATACACCATCAAACACCCACCTGTTATCAATCTTCGTATTAGAATCGTTGATATAACTAATGAAGAAATTACTACAGAAAATCTCGCTGATTATGTAATCCATCAAAACCGATATCTCTTTGTTGGTGAATCGTACTACAAGGTAATTGATAAAATAGTACCATTACGAAAAGACAAAAAAAGGTTTCAAGCTATCGTAGAAGTAAATCCCGATACTTAATAAGCATTCACGTTCGGTAGAAGTAACTGGCAGAAACTTTTCTGTGGTTAAGTTGCAATCTTAAGATCACTAGAAATTTAAGATTGGCACCAACTGTCTAATTTTCTAATTCAAATGTCAAATCTGAATTGTGTGGAAAAAAACCGAAGTTTTTCTAATTTTAACACGCTTCGTTTCAAGAAAATCCTTAAATACAGCATGGAAACAATTTCCATAAAAGTAGTCACGAGAAAGCCCACTTTAAAGGAAAAGAAACAAGAAATATTTCGTGGTTTTCAAAAAATTGGGTAAAACGGAAACAGTTAAACTGGTGGCAGAAATATTCTCCGTAAAGTTCGCTAGTGTTGTCGAGTGTTTTTCGTATTTTAAAATAATACAGATACAGCGGCGCTTGTGCCGTTAATATTATGATCAGAATCAGAAAGACGACTGCGCAGATTTATATACCTACATGCTTTGTTGGTTCCGTTCTACAATTGGTTTTTAAGTTTTATATAATCGTTATTGTTTTGTAAGAGGGAAAACACTCGGCTTTGAAAATAATTGTACGTAATACACATGTAAATTTAGGTTTCCGAAGGCGAAGTTTTTCACATTTTAAACACGTTATAGCTGCCAGAATCAAATTTCTAAGGTGGTACCTATCTCCAATTGCGTGATTGTGGTGAAGATTTACTTTTCATTTTCTTGGATGAGACATGGATATACCAGAACGGATCCATGGTGAAATTGTGGATCCATGATGATGACATCAAAGCTTGTCCTCCTAAAAAAACTAGTGATGGGAAAAGATTCAAAATTTTACATGCGGGTTGCTCTTTGGGCTTTTAGAGGGATGCGATTTTCTCCTTGGTTCAAAAATAGATTCACCAGATTACCACAAAACCATCACATTTTCGATATTTGACCTTTACTTACTTACATGTCACATTTTTGATAGCTACTTTCTGACATTCCAGTAATACATTATACACTAGAACAATTATGTCCGCAGTTACACAGCTTAAAAAAAAAAGTTACCAAATCTAGTTACATCTACCGAACGTGAATTCCTTATATGATGACATGATTAAAAATGGTTACCTAATCGTTGATTGTCTTGTATACGATAAATGTATTATGTATTGTACTATGCAACACCACATTAGAATTTTGTCAGTGTTTCTTTTTGTTACAGCTTGGCAAACAGATTCGCAAGGCAGATGCTGCTTTGGAAATATTGGAAATCAATTTTCAGCATTAATGAAAAAGCGTTGGTACTTTTTTCAGAAAAAGTTTTACTGGTTTATTCCAGCAGTAAGTATTTACTTTGATTTGGACATTATATTGAGAAGATAGGAGGCTAATATTTCATGATTTAAAACATAATTAGATGTCATTGGTCAGCCACTAAGTATAGTTGCAGCATAAGTTAAAAATTCGTGGGCATACAATGAAATCTCATGCATTTTTTTTCTATTCATTTGAAATTCGATTTGTTTAAAATTAATTAATTATGGATTAGTAATAATTTAATGAGAAAACAAAAGAACGATGCTAAATGCAAGTTTTCACGATATTCAATTTTCTTGAAAAGGTTTACAAACTTAATGTTTTATATTAAAAAACAAATATCGAAATTATACAATATATTGGAAAATCTGCTGCTATCAATTTTGTGGTACTCCAAAGTAGGTACAACTGACTGTAGACATTTTTATACATATTTAACGAGCGAGAAAATACAAGCATAAGTATTTACAATTTTTATCTAATATTTCAGATTCTTGTTTGCATCTGCATTTTCTTATTGGCAATTTGGTTAGGAATGTCAAATTCAGACAGTTATGATGGTGGTGGTCCATCGATGAACTATTCGTTGCAAGTATATGGAAAGCCTAAAGTATACTATGGTGGTAAAAAGACTACAGATCCTTTTCTCGATACCATGGGAATTTTCTACAAAAAGTTTGTAATGGATGAAAACGCGAAACCTGTGTTGAGCGAAAATATTTCCGGTGGTACGTGTGTTACTTCTATTTTCATATTTTGAACCTTGCAATTACGTGTGTACCCTAGTTAAGTAAAAGTAATCCAGAACTGCGCTTACCCATCTAGCGGTTTTATTGGTTGTTTAATTTTCTTTTGATTTCGAATTAAACAACATCCAGGAGAATCGGCAACAGAAATTAAAATTTGTTTTATCATATTTTCAGACATAATAAAAGAAGGCGTCAAAAACATAGCGTTTTACAAGAAGCACATGATCACAGCAATTGAATTCAACAGTACTTCAAACGAAACAGGAGTCGTTGTAAATGCCATGTATTCATCTGAAACAGTGCATGGGATACCTATTTCCATCAATCTTGCAATGAATGCCATTGCTAAAGCTTGGCTTGGTGGTAATTTTTCAATCACTACGCGTAATACTCCTCTGAAACCAATGTACTCTCAAGATGCACCTTCAGAATTATCCATTGTAAACGTTGCAAGTGTGTGGTTAATCTTAATTCCTATTAGTAAGATGATCTGTTCATGCGAATTTATGATGATACGTTTTAATTTGTAGGCATGTTTTTCTTCATGAGCAATTTTATCGTATTTCCCCATACAGAAGTATCAACAGATTTTATAAAGATTCAAACGATTGCAGGAATTAAAACATATTTCTACTGGCTAACAAATGTTGGCTTTGATGCATTATTTTCAGTGCTTCCAATGGCGACACTGTGTATTTTTCTGTTGTTAATAAATCAACTTCTTTATAACGGGTATGCTTTCCAGAAAGCAGATATCGGTAAGTATTAGTGACAATTACCTTATAATTATAATTTTGAAATCTTAGCAATTACCATTGAGTTTTTATTCTTTTTTTTTTTTCAGAGGCAATGTTTACGATATATGGAACTTACATCATAGTGGCTTTGCCATTTACCTATCTATTTAGTTTTCGAAAAACAATTACAGGAGGCTTTGCCCTTTTTCTTATGTTAGGTATTTTTTTCGGTATTGTTCCATCGCTAATCATCGCTGCAATGGAATTTTCGCACCAAGAGTATTATATCAAAATTGCAAAGTGTTTAACACCTATGTTAGTAGCAATAAGTCCACAATTTGCAATGAGTTACATAAATGTTAAGTTTGCGAAGAAATACATTGACAATTTCAACTGGAAATATATGGACCCTAAAAAACGGTCTCATAATTGTAACATCAATCCAAATCCCTGCTGCAATGGTAGGTTTTTTTTACTGAATAACGATTTATGTGTTCAAGTTGCTTTGTCAGAGCGATGCGGGAGATTTCACTTGGGTATTTTATGCAATTAAAACAGTACCGGTGTAGATGCATTCTGTATATTTTCTCATTCTATGTTCCGTAGCAGTTTCTATTACAATTCGATTTTCGTTTATTAAAAACCCCGTTATAAATGCCAATTTTACGTGAATTTTGATATTTTTTGAAGTAACGTTTCTTTATCATGTCATGTTTCAAAATATATTTAAAGGTTGTTTTGTTTTTCTTGCCGAGCGTAAGCTTAGGAAGTGGTAATCGAGCCCATCGGGTGACTTGCCAATTTCATGTTTTCTCGACGTTTCATGACTTCTCGAGTATGGCGTTTGTGTCGATTTTTATTAGACACGTAACCTCGAAACGTACTGTCAAATTTTATATGCGTGTTAGGAATATCATGTAGATAGTTAAACGATAACCAGAATTTTTACTAATCATCCCACCAAAAAATTGACGATGTCATCTCAAAGAATTCTATTTTAAAATGGTGGTGTACGTACGAATTGAGTTTTGTCGATTGTTTGAAAGACCGCTCGATTGAATTCACATATCGTGCAGGTAACATACATATTTGTTGGAATCAGTAGTTAATTTCTGAAAAATGCTAATTTAAAAAAAATATATATGAAAATGCACGAAATGTTGCGATTTACGGTGAAGTTTTATTAAATAAAAATAAAATTTTTAATAGCACTAGATACAAATTGGCACCACCTTGATGGGTTATGGGTTTTATACGCTGCCATTGTGCACATTAAAAACAAACTTTTTTTTTTCGACTGAGTATTTTTGTGTTGCAGGAGACGACACAACTTCTTGTCACAATTACCAAAATTATTTTCGAAATGAAGAATTGGGAATTGGGAATGATCTAGCAATAATGCTCGTGGCATTTGTTATATATTTTGCAATCTTAATTTTCATGAAGAGTGAACTTCACGAAAAAATTATGCACGTCTTGAAATATCCATGCTCTATTAACATTTTTAAAACCCACTACAAAAAAAGTGAAAAGGATGAAGACTTCACCGAAGATACATCTCTTCAAGTTACAAATTTAACTAAAACATTTGGAAGACAAACTATAGTGAAGAAATTAAAATTTTATTTAAAAAATAATAAATGTTTCGGATTACTCGGTGTCAACGGTGCTGGAAAGTCTACCACATTCCGCATGTTAACGAAGAATTTATTTTTCGATAACGGCAGTATTGCTTTAAACCCGGAAAACAAAAAAAAAGCAATAACGATAAACCAACCAGAGGTAAGGAAATATAGTCTTTATCATAAAACCCATTCGTTACTTTGTGCAATTGTATTTTTTTTAGTACTGTCAAAAAATTGGTTATTGTCCTCAAGAAGATTGTTTGAATTATTTTCTAACTGGACGAGAACTAATACGTGTTATGGCATACTTAAAAGGTTACTCGGGTGAAGACGTAAACAAAGTAACTGACAGTTTATTGACTTCTTTTGGTAAAAATACTATATTTGTTACCTTTAATTATTTATTTGTTTATTATTTAAGGTTTAAAACCTTACGCTGATAAACCGTGTTCTGAATACAGCGGAGGAAACAAAAGAAAACTAAGCTCTTGTATAGCGTTTTTAGGATCTCCTAAGGTCATTTGCCTCGATGAGCCCACAAGTGGTGTCGATCCAGCAAGTCGACGCAAATTTTGGGGTATATTATCATTGTTCAAGAAAATGAAAGGGACATCTTTTTTGCTTTGCTCTCATAGCATGGAAGAATGTGAAAATTTGTGTGATGAGCAATGCGCGGAAAAGTATCTCAGCAGTGCAATTCCCCAGTTGAAGTAAGGTGTGTTTTACAGCGAGTAGTGGGGACGCTTTGATCTGGTCCACAAGGACGTTGCCAGTGCATTTCGTTAGGAGTGTTTACGATCGCTAAACTTACTTCAAATAATAATACGCGATCCCCTTTTTAATTTTTACACCACAGGACCGCATGTTTGTTATATTGAAATGTTATATCATACAAAATGGCAAATTCATTTGTAACAAAATGGTTAAGATTGATTAAATAAGAAACCAGATTGCCGTGTATTGTTATAGCAACAAAATGAATTGAGGAATCTTTAATATATATAACTGCTAATGTTAGAATAAACGTCAGTAATAAAATTTATTATTGAATGCATTTGTTTGTTGGCAAGTTTCAAAAATGCGGTCACATAATTTAACTGATAAGTTTAAGGTTTTAATTGATTCAGTGTGCGTCCGTTGGTAACAAATGTGTCAGAATTCATGAAAGAGACCTTGTAGGAATAGTAGATGTGTCCGTAGATGAACGTTGAGGAATCGCCTAGGAAGGATTTTCGTTGCGCTTTGTGCTCGCGCTAGCTCGAAGTGGCGAGGCTCACGTGCCCCCACTTCGACGCGACGGCACTGAGGGAGTGAGATAAATTTCCGCGTAGTGGTGATGAGTGCGTATTTAGTTCTGAAGTCGTAAACTTTCTAACTAGAATTTTCTTTACAGAATAGCAATTATGAAAAGTGGTGAAATTAAAGATCAAGGGAGTCTTTTGTGTCTGAAAAAAAAATACCAAAAAGGTTTTAAAATTGCTGTGACACTTACAAGCGAAACAAACAACTCAGAAGAAATCAAAAAGCACATGGAAGACAAATTAAAAGCTCAGCTTAAAGAGGAATACGCTGTGAGATTTTATTTTATTAAAACAAAAATTGAGATTAATTATTTTTTATATGCAGAATACGTTAACTTACGAAGTCGTGGACGGTAACCAAAGGTTGAGTAGATTGTTTTCTGACTTACAGACAATGAAGGATATGTATAAAGAACAAGTAGAGGATTATGCAGTGAACCAAATTTCATTGGAAGATATATTCCTAACCGTTGCAGAAGAAACCTAGGCTTGTGGGACCAAGAACACAATGTGGATAAATGGTTGAATACAATTCTGTTGACATAGCAATTTGCTTCTGCAGAACTACGCGGTTTAGAGATGATGGAGTAATGGTGGGTAGTTGTATACTATAAGTCATATAAATAATAATAATTTAATATCCAATCTATCGATATCTTCGAGAATAAGAATTTTAAATTTAATTATATAAGTTAAGCCAAAGATTTACACAGCAGTATTTAAAAACCGTTTTTAGATTATTTTCTGTGAAATTCGACACAAAAATATCTTTCCACTGAAATTACCAGTTTGCAAACTTCTGGTTTTTATTGCAAACATTACCTACCTATTTTTGTACAAATGGTTTTTTTTTTGTGTGTTTACTTTCTCTTTGTGGAAATTATCCAGCACTAGAACATCCAAAAATTACTTCATCAACCAAATATTGGGCCGTTCTACAAAAAATTTTGTTGCTGAGTTGCATGTCAAAATGAATGAATTGATTTCTGTAAAAACTTAGGAACTCAGATTTGAGAAGTTTGCTATTTGGAAAATGAAGTTGCCGCAGAAACAATTACATCTCAACTGAGTTTCCAAGAATGCAGAGCAAATAAAGACGATTTTGTGAGATTTTGCCTACTTTTTGAGATACTGATATATTTATGTTAAAATGCGATTTTTTCGTTATTAATCTTTTATTGTAATTCGAATTTTTTCTTTAATTCTCATATTTTTAAACTAAATTTTTTGATATTTATTACGTCTTATTTTAAAATTTCCTAGTTTTACCTGCGTGTTCAACGATTGTACACAATGCATCTGTGATTGTATTTATATCTTTAAATTTCTTTAAAAAATCTTTATTATGTGCGCGAAACGTGCGTCGAAATTTTTAATAAACGAGATTTTTTATTACTGAAAATTTTGAAATTGATCTAAAAGAGAGTCGTTAATATTCAGAAATTATTTATGAACAATAAAGGTAATCAGTTAATATTATCTTATTCTAATTGAGTATTTTTAAAATCAAGTTGTGTCGCAAACAATCAAAACTGCGATATATAATTTGCGGTTGATGTTAGAGGCATCGCTTGAGTTTAAAAATGTTTGTTACAGCAAATAGTTCCTTACAAAAATTGTTTTTTACAACTTTGCCGCTGTTCAACTTCAAAATCTTCAATATTTAAAAAATCTCGCTTACTGAAAATTTCGATACACCTTTTGTGCAGGCAATGAAGAACGAAATTTAAAGGCAGCAATACAATAAAAGTTGTATTTATTTACTACTACTTACTATTGATCTTGGTGATTTTGAAGAATTTGTAAATCCTATTCATGAATGTCAGGTTTTAGCTAGAAATCATATTTTGGTCGAATTTTATGAGTCCTGAAGCATATTTCGACTTGTTTTTTGCTAGTTAAACTCATTGGGGTCAGTAAATGATGTACCTTACTTAACCGTTGTAATAATTCAACTGGCACCCTGTAGCACGCGACGAGTAAGTTCAAAATGAAATATCTACCAGAAATTCTTGAAATCATGTTTATTTAAATCCATGCTCATTAAAAAAGTCATTTTACTACATTATTACCATTCTCCCATGTACCCAAGTGTCAGCGTAACAAAATTTTTGAGCAAATTCGAGTTGAACTTTTTTGAACAATGGCCAAAACAATTGTAAAATCCCTCTATAAATTAGGAAAAATTACTACACTATTCGATATTTAACGTTCACAACACTTCACAGCACGATTAGTTGAAAATCTTAATAGAAGTATGTAAACCGAGACATGGTCCTAGTGAGTGCTAGGCTATAAAAACCAAGCATTGTTTCGGTGAATACTTCTATAGCAACCCTAAACGTTAACAACCGAATATTGGAGTCCTTTTTAATTATTTCGAAACGAACTATAAAATACGAGTAACAATAGAAGTATGTTTGGAATTTTTGACTGTTTACATAATCATAGATAAAATTTTCTTTCCCCTTTAGCAATAAACAACTGAAGCATCTTAATTATTGTAAGCACATTACTCATAAAGGTAATGTTCTCAAATGAAAACAGAAGCTTAAAAATTGTATTGACTATTTATGAAAAGTAAAAAATATTTGAATTAAAAATTACCAAATACTTTGCTATGCAATGATTTAATTCACTGAAAGGCAACTTGGTAAAAACTGCGTCAATGCAATATTTGTGATACATCTGTGATAAATTTTATAGTTTAGGATGAAATGAATCGATTGGTTTTTGAAGTCGGTGCGTGCTATTTTTTTTATATTGTTAGGGGACGGGGCGTCGCGACGTCGCGGGTTGACGGGGACGACCTGTCCTCACCTGTCGAGACACCGGCCCGAACCAGGAAGCCGGGTATGCTCCGATTTGGAAGTTCTGAGAAGAACTGGTTGCGTGCTTTATTTGTGTGCTTGTGTAGGGATTTATTTGGGGCAATAAAACCCTCGGTTAGAGAATGCAGAGCGGTTTATTGTGACTCCGAAGCGTACACTTTCACCGCTAGCTGACAAGTGATGCTGAGCGGGATTTCTAGCAGCCTTTTATGCTTTTTTACCGTTTTCTGGACACCGTCTGGGCAGCGGATTGGCTGCCGCCAGATGTCACAGAAAACGGAGCATAATTGTTATTTGCTTATCGCCTATTAACACTAAACTAATTCTTGGCACTAAATATATTATCTACTAATTACCTTACCCTAATTAACCTATTTTTTTCGCGAGCTGACGGCACACGCGCGCAATTCTGCACCAGTAGGCGGGGCCCCGACCGAGGTATTAAATATAACCACCGTCGGCGGGGCGGCCAGACTGGAAACAGCCGCCGCAGCACGCGAACCTATTCTACGCTAAACTACTTTATTAATTATCCTAAAACTTAAATAAGGTCCTAAAGTAACTTAATTAATTGTGAAATCAGGCCTCGGTCACGCTCTCCGGCAACAATATACATGTATATTTTTACAACGTTGTACCCTTTTATAATTTTAAACATGACTTCGGTTTTTCAAATGCAGCCTCTGAAACTACCGAATTTTTGCCCGTGTATTTAATACTAGCTTTAAGTTAGTTACATGAACAAGAGACATAAAAGATTCAATTTCGCAAAGTAAGTAGGTATACAGTTAATATGTGTATTTCAAAATTGGGCGATTTGTTTCAATTTGTTTGTTTTTTTTTTTTAAACAATCAACTTCAGTTGCATTAAGCTCAGCGACCGCCAGATTAGTTTTGAATGTAATGCTTTTCTATTAATTTTGTTTCTGTTTGAAGCTTAACAACAAAATATTGAGCAGATACATATTTATTTATTTTATGGATATATCTTTTAATGTTATTTGTTCTGTGGTAAGCAAGGAAAAATGTACCAACTTGTGCAACAAAGTGCTACCCAGAAAGTGTACATACATTATTTTTTTATTGGTGATGAGTATGACATAAGTTTAAGAATTTGGCTTTTGATTGGAACTTATATGTTGTATTGTATACACAGACTAATTTTAAAAGAACATTAAACTTTCTTATATGATTTATTTAAATTATTTTTATTAGTTATTATTGTTACTGGATTATATTTTTGTATTTTGTAAAATGGAGATTTTCCGTAATAAATTATTATTCTTATTATTAATAAACTTAAAAATAAATTTGTTTTTCTATAATTTTATTATTTACCTAAACTCATATGACCCGTTCAAACTTTAACTTGTAAATCATCCACCGTTTATTCCTGGATTGTATGCTTGAGTTGCTCGTGGTTGTTAAATAAATATTCTTATATCACTAGTGTTTTCTTCGAAGTCCTGGAAATTACCGTTTCCCATCGACTACCCCCGCACCGGAAAGAAAAACCCGGTCACAAAACGTGTCCTTTGAAAAATGTTGATGACGTCATTACAAAATTTTGTAAAGAAAAAACTCATTTGAAAGACACTCACAGCATGCTCCTTCATATTTACTTTAACATTGCATACATATTTGTATTTAACTTGTAAGGATTCTCATAAAAAATTAAATTGGCAAAATTAAATTTTGTAATAAAAGTAATGATGCAGAAAAGAAGAGGAATTATTCTTTCTACGAACTGCACAACAAAAAAATTGAGCACTGTTTGAGTTGAGTAATAAACCATATTATTCCACTAGTGGTGTAATGAAGGTCTCCACTACTTAACTGAAATTTATGAACATGCAAATTACAACAAATTATTTACATTAAGTAATTCTTAACTTATTTATAAAACTTTTCGTACTTGGTTTTTGATTAATTAGGCAACAATGAAGACGCCACATTTGCAGCAGCTTCTTCTATTTCGAAAGGCAGGCTTCCTGCTTCAGAATCACTCATTTCTCGATTGAAAAAAAAAAATTTTTTTTTAACTGACGCATACAACAAATTTGAGTGGTTGTCATAACACTGCAAAAATTCTCTTGGTTCTTGATTTTTAATTAATAAATAGTTATTTATGCAACAAGTGCAAAAAGTGACGTAACAAATGTCCGAAGATCGAGTCGGACAATACGTCAAGTGCAAGAACAATTTTGCACGTGTTGCATACAACATTTTTTCTACAATCTTGGGTATAATGCACCAGTTTTATTGGAGATTCAATGTTAGTTAGCCGTGACTATCATGACAATGTTTCCAAAAAAGAAATATGGAGAAATACTATAAAATAAAAACCTGTGACCATCTTTGTCACTTATCGCCATCGATAAGGTATAAATCAAATGTATATGCTGCACTTGTAAAATGTTTGTGTAGTACCCTTATGTTTTAGTTTCCTTTAGTTTAATGTAGTGTGTAAATCGGTTTTTTATAATGCACAGCGTGATGAAACCTATAGATTTCTTGCAATTTTCGTCTCTTGACGGTTTCCTTGGCCAATCGTCGCTGTGGAACAATCATAGTGACAATGCTTTTTTGCTAAAATTACGATTACGAAGTTTACACTAATTCCACCCCAGGAACTGAAAGATCTCGTACTTCTTGATACTATTGCCATAAACAGTCTCGTTACGGTATGTATATTGATTGTTTATTTAAGTTTAAAAATTCACCAATTTTTTCTCCTATTCGGGGGCCTCCATCTCATTCACTTAATCTAATCAGCATCAAAACAATCAGACCCTTAAATATAAATAGATTATTAACATTTCAAGCAGCAACTATTTGTGAATATTTAACTAAAAATCTTTTAATAAGCTAAAAAAAATAGATATCGCACCCTTTGCCGCTTTCTTCAATAATTTTGTACGAGTTTATATTTTGTTTGTTGTTCACAAAAGTAAGAAAGTTTGGCGGCTGTCATTTTCTGTTCTGCGTTTTAACCATAAACCAGGCGCAAACTAAAAACATAAACTATGTTATGTATTTATACTTGGTGCATATTTCATTACTAAGTTTACTTGTTACATATGTATTATGTTTTGTGTCCATTGTGAATAAGGCCCACAGACCATTAAGCAAATAGAAAGACGTTCAAAAACCACTACGATTTAATGTGGCGATTACAGCGCTGCTCGAGCTCCTGCATGAATTAAATCCACTGATTACTAGATTATAATTACTATAGTAGTAATTTTATTTTTAATTACAATTTTAATTCTATAAAAATGAAACTAAATTCAGTAATGAAAAACATATATTTGATAACAATGACAAAATTACAAAACAACTCTCAAAGAAAAACAATTTCATTTCGAAATACCTAAAAAAAATAATTTAATTACAAACTGCTTAAAAAAAACTCTTGAAACTACGGGTAGGTGTTAATTTTAAAACCTATTTGAATTATTAATTCTTCTACGATTATGTACTTGAAATTGTTTTTGCAGATTGGTCAATTTTTTATTTATTATTAGACGCACTGCCAAATTAATAATTTCCGTTCTTAAATCAGCAATATGAATGTCACAGTTAATCCAAGTAAAGTTAATTGTTGCTGTTATATGTTCTTTTAAATTTCTTGCAATATTTGGAACTTCTCCAAAATTATCTAAAAAGAAGACTATGGTATCGTAAATCTCAGCTAAGCATGTTACAAATTCTTTTGTAGCATATTTCAACCTTAATTTTTGATCCTGTTCTTTGTAAAGAGTGAAAATATGATGTTCTTCGGTTTTTTGTGCAATTATACAATTTTTACAGTCTTTACATGTGATAGCTTTTAATTTTTTTATTAAAAAGCCACAAACATATGTAATAGCCTGAAGATCATATAAATCTTTAAATGCAGTTCTATTAGTTGAGCTAGAATTTTCTAAATTTACCAACTCATTGATATTTTCTGTAAACTGAAAATTTGTTGGTTTTGATGACGAGGATAAAAATATTCTAAGATTATCGAGAAGTTTTCCTACATCTTCTTCACAATTCTTACCATATGCTTGATATGCTATCAAATTATTCAAAATACTTGTTTTTAACGCCGATATAAATTGAAAACACGATGGATTACTATTTCCTGAACCGTATTGTCGTATCACTGAAAATAAATTTTCTAGAGGATCCTGATTCAACATTCTTGTTCGCAAAAATTTGAATTCATTTTTTTCACACATCTGCCAAAGAAGTCTAATTCCACGAATGTTATTTAACCAACCTTCTTTAAAGGGCATAGTTGTTTTGAATTGACCACGTACTTCGTCATAAAATTTCCAACTTTCGATTTTTTTTTCCATTTTATTCCAAAAATCAAAATGGCCAGATTTCTTTGTTAAAGCACATCTTAGCTTTGGATTGCAGTGGTTGTTACGCATATTAATACCAGTGGAGTTGAAACTGTCGAATAAATCATTTGCGTCTTTTACAAAGAAAGCCGTTTCGATTGCTTCTGAAGGAATATTTTCTTTTGAATCTATTAGAGTTTCAAGTGCAGCTGCCATACTGGCACTAAGTGTTTTTGCTGCAATTGACACTTTCATCTTTAATAATCTATATCTGTTCATGTAAAGAAAGGGTTCTCGGATTTTATGCAAAATTTGAAATCTTCGAGTACTATCAAATTGATAAGCTTGTCTCAAATACATAAATTTAGCTTTCTTGGTTTCATCATAATAAATCGTATATTTAAGGAGAGCATTTCTTAATGATTTCAATAAATGGGGACTATCATATAAACATACAATTTTTTTTGAATTTACCTTAAAGTATGGTTCCTTATACTCTACATTTGATTCTTCTTTTAACAAACGTAGAGCCTTTACATTCGAACTGGCCTGATCACAAACGGTGCATATGACTTTTGCGCCGGCCATATTAAGTTTGCTAATAATTTCTTTAATTATTAGTTTTAATTTTATACTTTTAATAGAGTCCTTAACAAAATAGTACGCTATTGGTTGTTTCCATCCGGAACTAATACCTTGTATCATAAATACTAACGCATGGTTAGCATAATTTTTATTTCGTCCTAAAGATCCCAAATCCTCAAAACCAATAATTTTGTCAGTAGATCTCGAATAGGTTAAATTTGTAGATAAAGACACTTCATCAAACATAAGCTTGCATAATCGATCTCTTGGTTTCAGTTTCTCAATTCTCATTTTTAACTTATCAAATAGTTCGTCATTCACGCCACATTCAAAAGGTATATTTTTCAAAAATTTGTACAAAGTTGTTTTTGACGGAAGTCTGAAAAAATGTTTTAAAAAGCGATAACATTTTGGACCTCTTTTGTACATAGCCAAGGCAAATATTTTATTTTCAGTTGACCATCTAGGAATTTTTTTTTTCATGTTATCAAATTGGGATTTTATGAAGCTTGCACTTACAGAATTGCAATTTTCTTGTAAAATGTTAATTAGATGATTTTGGGGAGCACGTTTTAGAAGATCCAAGTTTTTTTTTGATTTACATAATTTTAAATTTAATCTGTTTATTGCCTGTTTCTGGCGTTTTGTTATTCTAAATAAAGTTTGCTCTCTAGGAGTTAAGTCGTCCACTCTTTTGCATCCTACCTTTTTCAATACCTTTTTCAAAACACTGGGTGAATATTTTCTTTTTTTCGGAGTATGTGATATTGTCGTGAGAGTATCACAATGGCGTTTGGGTCTTTGTGAATTTACGCTACCATCATACTCAGATTCCGGAATAGTTCCGACTAAAAAAATAAAAATTTTATAATTTTTTTGTTCACTTTTACTGGAATACCCATCACCATTAGTATTAATCACAGCTTGACTACTGTCCTTAAAAATAGTGGGAATTGCGTATTTATGAAGGTTCGTTTGTGCGGTGCTCGTAAAGTAATTTTTACTGAAATGATCTTCACAAATGTAAGCTTTTTTACAATTAACAACAATTTTTTCTGTGCAAGAGGCATTAATGGTATCTATCCACTTTTGTTTTTGAACTGGAGATTTAGGAAAAATAAAAAAATGTTTATTTTTGTTCTTGTTGATTCCTGTTGCGTATACTGACGGACAATTTGGAACTTTGCATCGATATTTATTAATAATTTTCATTTCCGTTGTATCTGAAACAAGTAAAACTATATTAATATGACTTAAAAATAGCAGATATAATAGCCACCAAACTTACTACTGAAAACCTTTTGAAAAAATTATAATTTGGCGTTTGAATTTGAATGACGTTAAAGGAGATATTTGTTGACAGTAAACACGATCTATTACGAAATTTACACGAGTATAAGCGAATG